AGCATCCTAGTTGCGCTACCTTGGAATCTTATATACTGCGTATGTTCGGAAGGCTGAACAATCGGTGTTGAGCTAATCATCTATCTCTCATAATCAGCCCGAATGTGCTGTGTATGTTTCCTTAGTGCATTCGTTATCTTTGCTTCTTCTGACCAATGGCATGCAGTCAGTGTGATGACCATCTCGCTGACAGATACAGTGAGTCTTCTGCACAGATGCTTACTATCCCCCTCCAAATAACCGTGGTTCCTTGTAGGAGTGAGTATGCGTCTTTACTAACTCTCTGGTTCACCAATGACTGCCACGCTATACTGCCACAGATGTGAGTCCGTTTGGAGAGTGTGCTACGCGAGGCTGATCTCTGACGGGATTCGCTAGGCTGGATTATATATATCATATGGAATTGGAGCGGTATTGTGATATATACAATTATGTGGGGTGAGCTGGGCACTTGCGAGACCTCACTGATATTGACTTGACTGAAACATGCTGCAAGTCATCATCATCACTCGGTTGTACGCCATGTATCAACGATCCAGAAAGATCCTGATATTTCTCATCGTCACCTCCCTGGCTGTCGGCATTTTCGACGTAGTTGCAGCCACGATGACAATGATGCATGTTTCAGGGGGTACGCTTAATTGTGGATGAAAAAACTGTCCAAGGGGCTCATTGTTGAATATCAGAGGAACTCGTTCTCTCCGGCACCCGTCAGTGCTCGACCTACATTGGGGAAGATATACTACTTCTGGATTCCATTGGTTGGATACTCACCATTATGTGGGAGGTCCTCACACTGTGTCTTGCAGTCTGGATTGCGGCGAAAACACTTCCGTGAACTGCGACAACATTCGCCAGGAGGGATTATAGGGGACTGCTTCACGGTGTTGATCAAAACTCACGTGCTTTACTTTGCGAGGTGGGGGCACATTTGATTATTCTTCCCTTTTTCCCACTAAAGGGTCGGACATGGTAGCGTTGTTGCTGTTTCATGCTTCCAGCTCATTATTGTTTTCTCCCCAACGGTATGTCAATGTTTCACTTACCTCCGCATGCGATCACAGTTCATCATTTCTATAGGACCAATATTTGCTGGACACTCAGATTTTTCGTGGGGCCCTTAACCTTTTGGAGGTCATGCAGTCGTTTGTGTTGGGACCCCGCCTGATCCTTAGCATTCGAGAATATCATGCTAAGCTCGTTGCCGATTCCGACGCAGCAACCGGCATGACCTCGATCGTTTTCCAAGAGCGTGTGCATATATCGACTGGTCGTGGTGTATGATACTGGGTGGATTTAACGGTCCTCTAGTGCTCTGCAAGGAGCGGCGGAATTTACTTGTATTTATTCCCACTTTCGTGACGGTATTGGTTGAGTTATTTGATGTTCCGAAAGTAGATTTCAGGGAGACAGGTCTGGGCAAAGTTTTCATCGTAGTATTTAGTCAAGTGATTTGCTATGCGTTCTGACAATGTTTAAACCAATATCCTGGATATCTCTACTAGCTACCCACCCACACTTACACACCGACCACTGGTCCTTCTTTTTTGTGATACAATCATTCCCACTATTGCTTGGGCAAACAGGCATGCGAGAGCCAAGTCGAGCGACAGTGCACTGCTTCAGTTCCTCAGCGATCTGTCCTTGATTCGTCTTCTCGCCCCATTCAACGTCCCCCCTTGTCTTACCTGAATCGCGCCAACTGGCTTACGGAAGATTCACTCAAGATGATACCAAGATGTGCGAGGCACATTCGTGCATACGTAACTTGTTGATGCGAGGCATACTTAATGAGTTTTGACGAGGTTAATGCTTGTGGAGGAGCGTGCCTTTCACTTTTATTCGACGGGGAGGAAATACGGATATGAGTTTAGAATTGTTACTGAAGCGTTATTGAGAGATTCGTGTACCCTATTAAGCATTGCAATATGAATGCCATGAATAAGCATAAATAAATAAAGATTTTCCTGCGTCCTTTCCTTAACTGAGACCCAGTGCCTCTGGGGAATCAGGGGAGTTTGAAGGAATCCAAGGTACTCACGTCCGAGCATCACACACCATACATAAAATGGCTTGTCTGCGTGGTTCCAAACGGTGGCGCCGACGCACTCAGGAATAGACATGCAGGCACCAGCACCAGCGATAGTGCAGGAGTCGAGCATCTGCTGCTGGATGTCAGGTTGTGGCCGTGATGGCGACTTAGAGACAGGGAGGGGTAACTCTCTCAATGTAGCTGGCTGGCAGAGACCGCCTCTGGGACGTAGCAGGACTTGGAAAATAATTGCATGGATCCGGCCAAGATATCTTCAACAAGCTTGGCACTGACATCGAAGTTGGGGCATTGACTTAAGATTTCGAATTTGGAACTGTGTACGAGCATCCTCCAGGTGGTCGTACTCTGGGAGATTTCAGGGCATTGATAATTTAAGGAAGGGAAGGTTCGATGATCTTTGAAGGACGCTGTATTGCGAATTTACACAAGAACATAGGGCGACTATCATTAAGAAGATTTCAGGTACGCAGAAATGATAAAATATTTCGAACATGAACAGGCCACCAAGTTGGTGTGTGCTATAGGCAGGTTTTGAGAGGTTGCGGAGGATTGGATAGGCGGTGTGTGGGTTGACACTGAAAAATAGAAGTCGAAAATGTGTTTATAGGACGCGCGGAAGCTCGCCTTTCTCCACGGGAATGCATTTATGGATAGCCCAGAGTTGTGGCCTGCACCGATGCGCCCTTAGTTGGAAGGAGGGGAGATCTAGTAGGGAAATGCAAGAGAATGATATCGAGTCAACTGGCCAGGAAGTCGGAAACATGTAAATGAGATGCACGTGCAGCTGCAGTGGATCACATGACTGATAGTCGACTTGTTCTAGGCCTGGCTCTTGCCTTCTCGATGCTCATTCTTGGGGACGACTTACCTCTGGTTGTATCGAAAGCACTATGGCATATTATTGACTTCCGTCATTGAATGAGATCAAAGGTTTAGTCGACGCTGGCATGCGCCGCGTGATGGCATATCTTCTTTCATTACTACCTACCATGACTACCTACTGGACACACTCGCAAGTGCAACAGAGCCTTCAAGTTATCATGACAACTTATGACCAATTCACTCAACTTGCTTTTCGGCGTTCCCATACTGATCATGAAGAGATGTCTTTCACGACTTGCATGTCACTCTGCCCGTTTATTCTTCGTGTTCTTGTTTTCACTGCGGCGCTCTGCAGGTCATCTGAAGACTGACTCGGAAGTTCAGTCTAAGTGCTGGTGATAAGGGATTTATCACTTTTTATCACTCGTTCAACTTCTCGACGGGGCGCTCCCGCAACTTCAAGAGGATGTACCAATTTGTAGAGTCTTCTGCCTTCTGGTCAAACAGTGGGGCTGGAGGTTGCAGGAGAGCCTCCACCTCTCCCAGACGATCCTTATACAGGACCCGATTCACGACCTTTGCAAAGGGGTACAGTAACGCCGCCGTTGGATACCAATACGACGACAAGATATCTGGGTACTAGTGCCACGGAAACAGACGGGATTCATCAGGGTTCCATGTCAAGTTTGCACCTTTCTTTGCAGATGGGAGAGAGCTCGGGTAACAACAGGACGTCTCCTGACGTTTCTCGAGGGCACACTACAGGAGTCTAGCAGCCCAGGCCCTTCACCTTTCCGCTCCCCCTGCCCCCGAGAAGCATCCAGAACACGCTCACGACCACACAGGTACACAGACGATGCTCATTCTGTTAATGCAATAACCCTACCGTCCATGAGGTATTTGACGCCTGGCATGCCTTGTTCCCATATGCGTCTGTTAGTCGTGTTTCGGTCGAAAACCTTGAAAAAGCTGTGCATCATTGACGGCCTTCTAAAAGTATGTACCCTTGGTCCCTTATGGAATAGGCAGGCGCCCTGATTCAATATTAGTATGGCCTTCTTTTTTGCGGCATTCTGTGGAGTCCTGGAGACCAGACTTCCAGGACGGTCGTTGGTACTGTGATACTGGTCGTATTCGTCATGATCTTGTGCAGCATCAGGATCACCAGAGAACCAGGATGTTGCGTTGTGTGGGGGGTGGATAGACCCGCTGCACAGTGGGCGCATGCTATTATCTCGTCTGGTGGATGCTTTTGGACAGCTCATGGAGTTTATGGGGATCCAAAGAGACCTTGCCCACGACAATCGACCGTATAATCGTAGAAGCGGAGGCCGCCGATGCTCCAACGCGGGGGGCTGCTCCTTCAACAACCTCACCCAAGTTTCAACTGGACATGCTGAGCACGGGCGATCATGATTCATAACAATCACCCAACTCTTATATTTCCCCATTCGACCAAACCACCCCAGCGTTTCGATAGATTCGCCTCGGCGACCGCATGACGGCAACTCTGTGCTGCCGCCCTCAATTTCAAGCACCAGCTCAAATGTTTGTCAGGCGCAGGCCCTTTACAACGGACTCGGGAAGACACACATATTTTCCAAGATCAGTCAACTACAGAGGCTCGCTGCAACCATGATTGTGGCGCCCTTGGGCGTGTACTTGAACGCATCGTCAAGCTCTACATCAGCAGGATGGTCAGGACAAACGGCCAGCGTAAACAATATTGCATTCCAATGGTCACCCATCCACGACTACGTGGCCGTCGCCAGTTAGTCCCCTGAGCTGATCACAGACTCGGTCGTTCCTTCTCTACTTTCGCACTTGGATGCAGAACTACAATCTCAGACTTTCTTTTGACTTACTCGTATACAGCCAGTAATACGGGCCAATCAACCACCATATCGTATTATTAAAGAGTAGCAAATCAATGAAAGTAATGGTGCAGTATAAATCAAGAGTAAACACGTTCAGGGCATTGAACGCGAGTTACTGCTCGGGGTTCTCTCCATTAATTTACCCTCAGTGGTTTTGTAGAAGTGGTAGATTTTATGCAAGTGACCGAGCATCCAAGAGTAAATATGGAAGGCGTATAGTATAGGTATCTAGAGGAAGCGGAGCACTGATCTTCTAATCAAATCTCCTGCGTCTGTAGCAGACATCCCGAGGTTTCTTTTGGCATCGTGATCATGGTCTGTGGAAACACGGTCAACGATACTCGTGAGGGGTGATGAACTGAAGAGACAAACATGGTAGTTGTGTGCTGGGATCTCTGTGATGCCATCCTCTAACCGAAGCTCAGACTTTGCGGATGATGTTGGACATCACGACTCCAAGTTGCAGGTATGGCGAACTGTTCAAAAAAATCAGCCAAATTCACCCCAGCAACCAAATAATCAAGCGCACCTGCTCGCCAATGCATCTATGACGTCCAGCACCGAAGGGTTGGTATGGGCTCTCAGTTCCCTTGCTTACAGCACCAAAACCATAATCAATCTTCTCGCCGTTCTCGTCAGAGTAAGTCTTGAACGCTTGAGCAGCAACACCCTCGGGATCACTCCACCGCGTCGGGTCCCACGTCATGGGGTTAGCCCAGATACGGGGGTCAACCTGGCTGACGGCAGCAGAAGCAAGCACGTAGTAGCCCTTTGGGACGATATAAACACCATCTTGGGAGGGGGCAGCGAGAGTCGCGGGGATAGGAACATCAGAACGGACATAGCGCATGATGCTGTGAATAGGCGGGTGCATGCGGAGCGTCTCACGAATGACTGAATCAAGAACTGGAAGCTTGCGGAAGCCCTCATAGGTCATCGGGCGGAAAGAACCATCCGGATTACCGAAGTGGTCGACTTGCTCCTGGTAGAGTGCTTCCCTATGATGACAATCAGTATATGTTAGCTGCCGATAATGAACAAGACGCACTGGACTTCGACGTTGTGAGCAAGGTGAAGAAGTGTCCATGAACCAGAGGCGGAACTAGTGTGCTGTCCTGCCATGAGAAGGGCAATCATGATGTGCGCGATTTCATGGTCACGGAGAGGTCTGCCATCACGGTATTTTTGATCCATCAAGGCGGAGATCATATCAGGTTCGTCCTATAGGATGCATCATAAATATTGGCTGGATCTCATCAAAGCAAACGTCTTACAGAATGACCTGATTCTCTGCGTTTGCGGATAATATCGGTGTAATACTCGCTCATCTTCTTGTGCGCTTCGTCCCGACGGCGGTAAGATTCCAAAGGCAAGTTGGGGAACATGAAATTCAGTGGGGTGAAACCTCCATCCAGATCGTTGTAGAGTGCAGAGAATGATTTGTCCAAACCACTTCTAACCTCCTTGCCTTGCAGAGTCCGGCTGGCAGTCAAAATAGTGATTTGAGCCATGATGTCTGTCACATCGAAGCGTCCCCATTCATTGATGTCGTTCATTTGCCAGATGATGAATGCTTGATCGCTGCGCATGAAGTCGTCGACTTCTTGCTCGAACATGCTCACGTACGCCCGGAAGTTCTCAGTTGAAAGGCCGACTTTAACGAACTTCTTTTGCTCCATGAATACTTCGTTGGGGACATCGTATACGACGTCTTTACCGAAGACGGGGGTCGTGAGGTGCTGTTTGTGGTTGAGAAAGACATTTGCAAGGCCAAAACAATTGCACATACCGTGTACGCATCTTCCGCAGAGAACGCAGTCGATTTTCCACCCAAGACAAAGTTATTGCCTTTAGCACCGAGTGCGACCGTAACCTTGCGTCCAAGTAGAGTGAATGTGAAGACATCGCCGTACTGAAGAAGAGCATGAGACAAAATCACGACATGAGAGAGGTATGTCACACGACTGTACTTTTTCCCTGCACTTGAAGAAAAAATTGAGTGGGTCATTGCCGTACGTGATGGAGGACCCGATGAAAGGGATCCAGTGGAACACTTCCGGAGGTAGAGAAGGATCTCGGGGAACAACCTGGCGACATTGCATCAGTAGACACGTGAACAGGGGTTGCTAGATGCTCACCAGCTGTTTAAGAATGTTCAGTACGAAGATGAGAACCGGCGTATAGAAAAGTCCCAGCAGAATTGCTCTACCAGGAGAGGCGGCGATATACTGCTGCGTAGCATCAACGAGAGCTGCAACGTAGCCCGGGGCGGTCGAATTGAACGACATGAAAGAACGAAGACAAGATGCAAATCGCTGTCAATGCTCCCGCGCTGTCCAAGGGGCACTGGCAAGTCTCACGAACGCGACTGATGCTAACTTTGTTTTTCAGCGCGCGTTTTTATCCTCCCAAATAGGTTGTCGAACCATGGTACTTGGCTTAGTCATCTTACCATCCGAACCAATCATATCCCGACAACTGACTTGCTTCCGACGGAAAGAAACTCAACGAGAGCATGAGGTGAGTGCTAAAATATGCAGTAGATTATAACCTATGGTGCATTACGATGTGTCAGAATCTAAATAAAGCAAAACTATGCACCACCACATAGCTCCAGGACGAACAGCGCCTTCAAACCAACCTGTATTTCCTTGACTTTCACATTCACATACTGCCCTACCGGGATATCCGTAGTCCTAGGCGTGATAATTGTTGCTGGTAGACCAAGTGATGGGATGTAGCACGAAAACTGGTTCGTCAGCAAGTCGCGCATCCTGCTAGGCTCTGTGATATATGCACTGAGGGATTGTAGAGGGTCGATGCGATCACTGGAAGGGTTCGGGTGATCAAGGAAGCGCTTGATGTACATGAGAGTCCACTGCATGCGATGACTCTGATCGCTATGCTTCCAAAGCTTCTCGTACGCAAGTACCTCAGTGGCGTAGGTAGTGAGCCACCCGGGAGTGAATAGACGTGTAGATGCCTTTGGCCGAAGCAGTGCATCCTTGATCTGCCAGTGCGCAACCAGATCGTTGTACCGTCGTAGCGGTGACGTGACGCGCACATAACCTTCCCCTTCTGGGATACCCATGGACCAGTGTATACCTGGCTGAAGGACATACTCAACAGATGGAATATGCAATTTCGTCTGGAGGAACTCCGTGTGATCCACAAATCCATCCTCGTCCATCCTCGCAACTAGCCTCTCAATGTCTCCGTTGTCCTCAAGGGCTATCGGAGGCCGTGCAGAACGACGCAACATCGGCACTCCCTTTGCGGTGAACCACCGTGAAGCAACGCGGGATGCTGTTTTCATGCACTCAGCAACAAACAACCGCGAGCCGCGCTCCATTGTCTTCTGAGAATACACTTGATAGGTAAGGTCAGGGAAGCCGCGATAATACGAAGCGTTCCAAGCTGGTGTTGTCGGAGCGCCGTGGATTGGTTTTGCAGCAGCCACAAGAGTAGCTGTTGGAGCTGAGAATACGAATGGATTTAGTGTCTGGCGGCTACGCTGTCGGAACCTGCGCGTCAGGTTGTCGATAAGACGCATGTTCTCCACATCTTTGGTTTCTAGTACAGGTACATGGGAGACTCCAGGGGTTTGCGGTGCCTCGAATGGGTAGCCAAATTGAACACCTCCGTTTCCAAGAAGTCGATCCACACTATCGTAGTCAACTCTTTTGGCGTTGCGAATGAGACCCGCTTTAACATCGTAGTCGACTATGTTGCCTTCAGCATCTAACTTGAAGCTGAATGTAAGTACAGGCTCAGGCTCCCCCTTCCGAGAATGAGAGCACAAACTTAGTCGGTCGTGGGTAAGGGAGGGAGGTAGCATAGGCCATGTCCTGTGGATGAAGTATGCAGAGGAGCTCATTCGACGTGCTGCTTCTGAGATAGCATGAGTCGGTGGAAGGACAGCAGTAGGGTCTGCAATGTGGACGTGTATCCAAGCCGAACCAGGCTCGTGAAGAACAGGTTCCACCGACAAGCCGTCATCCAGCTCTTCTGCATTCACGTCGTCAATCACGTAGACTGGTAAGCTTCCGAAGTCATGTCGCAGATGCTCGACGGGATCACGATCATAGAAGTCTTCCGGTCCTAATGGTTGCTTTGCATTCGCCCGCGAGGATCGCAGTAAAGACAGGCTCCTTTTAACAAGAGCGTCCTGATCTCTGACGTGCTGCGACTCCTCGACCAGCGTCAAGTCCAGATTCAGCTCCTTCCTCTGGGTGACGATATCCTCCCAAGGGGCCATCTCCCCCATCTCTATCAAGAACTGCCGCAGACACACGTCGTCCACCATTTTATGAGCATGCAAGCCAATCCTCTTGATGATAGATGTGACCACTCCAGAAAAGGGATCAACAGAAGTATTACGCGTCCTGCGTAATGCAAGGTGCAAGACATCCAGGATGGTACGATCGTCCGGGGAAAATGTGATATCCTTTACGACAACTCTGCTCGGAGGCTCATCCCAAGACTCACTAGCCTTCTCTCTGGCGGTAAGAATGAGGCCCCGAGCTTTCGCGATAAACGCCTCCAGTTCCGGACTCCTTTTCCGCACCATATCCACGACTCTCTGCAGTTTGACAACATGGTTTTCTGGCCGCACGTCGTACGTGAGCGCAAGTCTCTGAGACTGCATGTGCGGCACAAATTCGATGGGGCGACCCATGATATATTTATGCGTTGCGACAAGAGTCGACCAGCTCTCTGGTCTATAGTCGCACACCAGCTTCGCAGCCTCTGAAAGACTGACGGACGCCCATTCATCTGGGTTCTTCGCCCGCACGTGGGGATATAGCACCGCGTTCTTCCGCCCAATGACCATAAATGCCTTGTTTATCTCTTTTTCAGCCTCCCGTAGGTACTTCAGGATTTCAACACGCGCATTAGTCTCTGTGCGGTCCACTGGGGTTACGCCAATGCCTGCGCGGAGGGCGAGGTCCCTGTCAGTCATGCGAGGGACCTCGATGTACACATCCGACTCAACATGCTGAACGACTTCTCCTGTACTGATCAAAGAGAGATGCCACATGCGACCGTTCATATACGAATGGCCCAAGACTACACCATGCGCATATATAGAACCCCTGCAATATCATAAGTCATCGGGAATAAATAATAAACAAGCCATAAACACACTTTCGAATCTCAACAAGGGTTCCAACCTCTATATTAGAACCTGACGAAGCGTCCTCCGGTCCCACTCCAAGGCCTGCATCCTCCACATCATTTGCGAAGACAGCTTGCGTTTCTGTCATGGGTGGCTTCGGCTTCACCATATCCAGTAGGCGCATTTCGTCGCCTCGTAGCGTCTGCGTGTGTTTCCATGGACGTTTGGGAGTGAATTTGGTGCCAGCGGCAACACGGACGAGCTTATCCGTTAGCTTGGCGGCTGCAGCGAGCTCACTGGGCGGTAGCTTTCGAGGTCGACGGATAAAGCCCTTTGAATCATTGTTCTTTATTGGCGTAACTATTGGAGATGGTTGTCTTGGCTGGACATTGGGCCGGATGTCTGCAAGCAGTTGGCCGGCGCGACGATGCATGAAAGGAAGCGGAGGAAAATGAAGTTGTGGCTGTGCAGAAAGTTAAGACTGAAAGACCGAAATGGTTATCAAGCTTATTCGCCACTATCCATTCATCTTCCCTTCGTTACCCATCACCATGTTCAAACGAGTCGAAAAGAAGCGCAAAAAGCTGGAAGAAGAGGAAGAACTAGGGATAGATGAAGATATGAAAGAGTTCATGGGGTTCAACGACACCGATTCTGATGAATCTGCATCAGACTCGGACTCTAGCTCTGACGAGCACTCGGACGCAGACGAATTGCAATCAGGCGAAGAGGACCTGGAGGAAGCTGGAGACGAAATTGAGGATGACGATGCCAGCGATGATGAAGAACCGCCCATCTTGCTATCAGAAGCATTGAGGGACCCCATCTATGTCGTATCGCTCGACCCAGATATCCGAGCTTGTATATTATGCAAGGGCAAGGTCATCAAGAGCACTCAAATGTCGACAGTCCACAAAGCATCTATTGTATGTCCCTTTCTCTGAATATACAACTGGAAAAAGACGGAGGTTCAGGCTACCGCAGGCTCATACACGACGTTTCGAGCGTTTCAAGACCTCAGCAGCGAAATATGATCCGCAGAGTGACGCCTGGCAAGTTGCAAGGACAGTACAAAAGGAGGCGTCAAATCCTGCTGGCACTCAGAATTGTCCTGATGCTGGTTTGTCGAAGCGTGCCCTGAAAAGAGTGAGTGGTGTATCACGCTATTTTTCGAGGCAGGTTTTCTCAACGCTATGTTTTCAGTCCGCGAAGCAAGCATCAATAAAAGAGAAGCGAACGCTCCACAATAAGCTTCGTGCCAAGGCAAAGGCAAAAAAGGCTACCAATACAGCTTCGCTATCCCAGGATGCAGCAGGGAAGGAGTTACCAGCAAGCAAGACGCTTGAGAAGCAGAAGTCGCAAAAAGCTGGAGCTACGAGCGACGACAAAAACTTGGTGAAGAAAGGGGAACAGAAGGCCGATGCCAAAGTTCACGATGTAGACAAATCCGACATATCGCTCGGCGACAAAAGGACAGTGAAGAAAGGAAAACGGAAGCTCCCTGGTTCTAAACTTCAAAACGTAGAAAAATTGGACGCATCACCTCCAAAGCCACTGGAGCCTGAAAAGAAAAAGCGCAAGGTGCAAAAGGATCAAGTCGCAATCCCCTCTGCTCCACCACAATCTCCAAAACGGTCGCAGGAGAAACCTCTCAGAAACCCGAAGGCGCCTCGTGAAAAGAACGGACAAGAGCTAAGGCTACTTGAGTAGGTAGGTAGTTTGTACCGATCTGTCCATATCACGATGGTTCCGTTAGATATGCATAAACAGCTGTGAGATAAATAAGTAAAGGAACACAGTCCCAGTCATAAAGGTATGGTGCAGTGCTCTACAGCAGCGACTGTAGAACTCTGTCGGTCATTGCGATGACCTAGAGGGATTCTTTCAGCAACGTTGACACTCCCATCAGAAACACGTACCTGGTGAATATTTGGTCTGTCTTTGGGATTAATTTTCAGCATACAATCAATCAAATCCTTCAGCCCTTGCGAATACGCCGAATTCGGGTGCTTATACTGAGCATTTAGTACAGCCATCGCAATCGAGCCACCTTGCTCTGTCGTTTGGATGTTTTCAAATGGCGAGTGTGAGTATGCAAGAGCGAAGAGCGTGCATCCGAGTGACTGCGAAGGGTTAGAGAATGGGTGAGCGGCGACGGGAAGACCTACCCATATGTCAACTTTCTCATCAAGAGTGATGCCCGTCTTCACATCGAAAAGTTCTGGAGCGCGGTATGCCATCGTGCTTTGCTCCGCGGCAATATCCTGTGAGATGAATATGAGATAGAATACCATAATAAATATAGAACTGCATATACCTGCTGTAGTAGAGCCAGTGATCGACTATCTATCTTTATTCTTGCTTTTACAGTACTCCCAAAGTCCATCAGTATGGGTGTGACTCCATCGTCCGCGATCATAATGTTCCTGCGATGAAAATGTCAGAGGTGCGATGACAGATCGGCAATATCTCTACCCAGGTTTCAAGTCCCGGTGAGCATATGGAACGTGTTCGCGCTTTCCCTGCGGCACATTTCCATTTTGAGCGGTTTGAATTGCAGATACTTCCTCATCACCGTCGAATATCACGTCCCCATCCCCCTCGACACGGTGTTTTGTCATGAGGGGCATGTTCATGGACTTGTCGTAAGAATAGCCGTCCTCATTATCGCCCTCCGGGTGGGGGAAAAGTTCATCCTCCTCTCCATCGGAGTGGTTCTCCTCCACGCGCGAAGACGAACTTGATGAGGATGGTTGAGGTTGAGCGGAAGAGGAGCCAGTAGTTGTGTGGTAATCATGCATCGCACGCACAGCTTCGCATGTCCCCTTGAACAGCCGAACCATATCTTGCTCAGGGAAGTGCTTCCCATTCACGACGTTGAGGTTGATAGCATCTTGAAGGTTCCCGCGCTTTATCCCAAAAGATCTATGGATGTTCCATGGCAAAGCACGCCATAAAGACATACCTGATACAAAGGCAGGAAGAGGTATACGATCTTGCCTTCACCTTCTGGATCTTGGACGACAGCAGAGTCCTGTGCAGTTATTCAGGAGCTACATGAAGATCATCCGTTGTCACTCACAAGTATCCGAATGATATTTCGATGTCTGAGAGCATGCTTGAGATAGCAATGCAACCATCATTAAAGTCTTGACTTACTTGAAGCGTCTGTATGCCTCTACCTCCCGCATGGCCTCCTTCACGCCCTCCGACCCAGTAGGACATCTTATTTTTTTGAGAGCAAATTGCCGCTACATGTACATCAACCATATGTGAGATGTTACAAGGAACGAACTCGTGAGATGATAGATCACGCACCCCACTAGTCTCGTCTTGTGCAAGATACACAAAGGAGAATCCACCCTCGCCGAGGACTTTTATAATATTAACTGGGATCACAAAATCCACGTTAGCAAGCCTGCTAGGTGCAAACGAACATTCCAGAAGTTCATTGAAAAGGGTATGACTGACACGTTCGACCATTAATTTTTACTTTGGCTGATTGCTGGCAGAGACATGAAGAGAGGGCCCAGATAGCGTCTTTTGCTTGATCCTTGAGACTGTCGAACACGCTAACAAACTGGGAGAAAGCCATAAGAGCAGCGATAGAGCAGACTTCAATAACAGTTAGTGGCTGTCACTGCGGTTCACAACGGGTAAAGACACGTGACAGCCACAGATGCGCCTGGTCTAAAAATAGCAATGTGATTGAAGCACGTCCAAAAAGTTTGTTTCTGAGTTGGTGCCATGCGAAGTCAGGGGGGCACCTGCAGGGTATTTTGCAGTGAAACTCAAGCTAGTAGCCGTACGATGAGGAGCACCGCATTCCCGTAGCCGTCGGGGACCACCACATGATTTATCAATGGACAATAATGGCCTAGGCGCTGTTCCCGTTTAAATAGACTTCAAACGTTATGGAGCCAGTGAAATTTTATTGGAGACTCAGGCAGACCCCCGGGAGCCGTGAGTCAACGTGAGTGGTAGATCCACCGTGACAAGATCCTACCGGTACCCGTGTCCCTTCCTGTCGGGACATGCACAAGTTTCTTCAGTTGATAAACTCAAAATTGAGTAGGCGTCAGTAAAATGTCCTGGTAGCGCTCCTGGGATTAGGGTCGTCGTTATTTAGTAGGAGGAACTTGCCAACTGATTATTATTCAAACGTTAATTTTACAGGATCGCATCCAGCCAATTCGCCGGAATGACATATCTGTCTGCGGATGGGCTACACCCTGCAGTTGAGTCTCAACTCCTGCTATTAGTAGCAGCGTCTGCTTGCCACGGTAAGTAATTCTTCGTATATGAACTGTACTTATATGATGGTGAGCCACCATCACCTTGCCACCACACCAAAAATGCATGTATGATTGGAAACTTGGCACGGTGCAGCGTTCAAACTTCAAAAACACCGGAACTGTTGCCTGAAAGAGCTGACTTGGCCTTGGCCGTAGCTCCGAGTTCCAAGGTCCCCGTCGTTGTCCGAGGTCCGAAAAGTGCAATTGATTACCTTATGAGACCACTGGCGGAGCTTTCTTTCTTTCTTTTAATTTTATTATTCTAATTTTTTTCTTCAACTCCAAAGCCAACATATATGCAAGTCAAAGCAGTTCAAAAAAAAAGTATCTTCATGATCTCGGTTGCCAATGCTCATGTTGGTTGCTGTTACTACATGTTGTCCATTGGCTGGTGGCGGCCACGGTATCAGATACCATGATAAAGACGCCACTAGTACACAAAGATGTCGATCCCTGGCCAACGTTCTTATCCACAAAATCCACAGTGTCCTCAAATACAATCACAGCACGCCATTGTAAACTTGCTGTAGATGCTTGTGGACTCCGCAGAAGGCTGGTGGATGTGGACCTAGCGCTTTGACGACGAGTACTATAAAATGCCTGCACAGATGCCATGGACAGGCAAGTTACTACCATCGTCCAATATACCTATCACCTCTAAGTAAAACTATGTCTTACTCCTACCCTTTTGCCAGGCAAAATGCCCAAGCATCATCGTACTCAACACTCTCTGGTGCACTTGACCCTGCACCGGCTCAGTCGATGTATTGCCCTGTTCGGCCGAATGCCACCGCCGATGATGTAGGACTGCTTCTGTTTTTGTTTTCACACTACTAACATATTCGTAATTACGATTCATAGGGAATACCCATCTCCCAGTATTTACGTGCTCACGCATCGGCAAACCCGGACCTCTCAGGCGCCCTCGGCCCTGCACCTGGGCAACCACACCAATATACAGTTCGTTCACAAGTCCCCGTGTATGCTGTAAGTGATGCATGTTGGGGTACTTAACAATTGACTTACGTTTTGTGAATTTGTAGGGGGCGCCCATCCCCCCATATTCAGCCGTCCCACATACGCTAAGCGGCAACTACGAAGGGTCGTCTGTGAGTGCATGTCAAACACTCGCCGTTATCACTTTCTAATTCCAGAAGTCTGCCCGTCCTGCTTACCCATACCCTGAGAGGAACGTTCTCCACCCTGCCAAGTACACCGCCAACATGCCGCCCGCTGCGCACAAAAAGATGTACAAGACTGTCATTCCTTCAGGATTTCATCAGCTGCCGCAGCCGATTGACATTGAAAAATGTGCGGGGCCGACTTCGTGGAGCAGGATTGGATCCCAACATGCTGCCATCAAGTTTAATAGGAAGGGTGGAGGGTCCCCGTTTCGTGTTGATGAGCTGATTGAGCTCGAGGATGAGCCAGAGGTAGAAGGAGGTCATGATCAGGTGTTTAACGGCATGGGAGAGAGGTGCATCAAGGTCTTGATCACAGTAAGTTGAAATACCAGTCCTTTTTGCGGTAATCTGACATCCTTTCGTTGCAGTGGCCTGGTTACAGTCAATATCCTGTAGAAAGGCGGGTCTCCATCGAGAATGGAACCTTCAAGAGGGAGAGGCTGCTCAAGTTGTTGGCCAAGTACATTGAGGAGCTTGTGCATTATATACACGTACGTCCGAGTGGACTCACCTTTTTTATTGTACTGATCGGCCTGTGTAGCGCAAGTCGATACGCGTAGAAAAAGGATACGAGAAATACGAGCTTGCATGGAGGCCACGCGGGCTGCCCAGCATCTGGAGAGACTGTTTGATCACTAGTCTTGCTCATATATCGGGATCCAACTGGCAGGTAGAACTTTATGTGAGGGGTTGATGGGGACGACGTGCTGGACTTGCGTATCATTATTCCATATAGTTATATTGTGCCATAGCAAGCCTGGAGCTTGCGGGTATCATGTATAATAAAACACTCCTTTGTTACGTCATGTATACTTGGATGGTTTGTGGAGGAAAGTTTGTATCCTGGATGGCCGCGGGGGGCTCATGGATGAGAGCTGCCATCTGCAGGCTGTTCCTCAACGGAAACTTTAGCACCCAAGCGAGATATCTCTGAGAACGCTGCCTTTAGTAGGTCAAGGTCAGCGTCCAAGCCCTCCGCCCGGGTCTTCATCTACAAAGCAATGAGACTACACAAAGATACACCTAGTGAATTTACACACCGCAGCTATGGTATCACTAGCTGCAATCAGCTCATGATGGTGGTTGTAGACCAGAGACTGTCTATCGCCATCAAGTTGACGTATTTCTGAACAACCGAGTCAATGAGCGGACGTCTCACGTGGTCTTGTAAAACACGAACCTGTCAGTAGGTCGTTCTCTCGTTTCAGCAGAGCCGACAGAGATGATGCAGTTATAAGTTGTTCATAGTATGATTTTGCATCAAAAGCTGCTGAATCTTCAGTAGCATAATGAGAATTGAGCATGAGAACTTGATGCATTTCAAAGCATACCTAAATCCATGGGGTCGTCTGATCTCCCAGGTAGAGGTAGTGGTGGACCTACTCCGAGGCCATAGTGTTTCCTCAAGAGGTCTCTAGCGCGAGACTTTGGCTGGAGGTGTTTTTGTGCGAGGCGTTTGTCCGACACCAAGTGAGGGTCGACGAGAGTTGGACGGAATTACGGTTGAAGAGCTTTGGGGCGACGTTGGTCGCAGCGGAGACGAAAGTACTCTAGGGACTGACTTCACACGTTGGGTCGTTGGCGATGTAGGTGTAGACTGTGTGGTAGACATGACTGTACCACGTAAGGGTGTCAAGCGATCATAATATTAGCACACAATTCATTTAGATGACGCGATCACGTGCCTGTATAATATCAGCATCGGTTCAACACCGTGACCAAGTCACTTCAACAATTGACTTGCAAGCATCTATTAGGCCAAACATGACCCATGGCACAGACGGCTTGGGTTGTCGCTGACGGGGGGGTGACCAAGACGGCTTGTGACCTCTTTAAGTTGCTCACCAGAGAGAGCCCCAACCATGCAATGTCCAGCCTCATACAGGCTGGGTCAAGCGCCACTCATACTACCACGACAAGTTCTCCCCAACATCCTCGCAGCCTTCATACTAATGTCAATCTTCACACTTACCTATGCTGCCTCGAGCAAATTGTACCGCTGCACCCTGCACGTCAGCATTTCAACTGTCAGTCTAACTTAGGTATATCTTCGATCTGTCCGAGTCTTAATTGATTTTCTACCGTCTCTTTTCGTCTTATCAGAATTGGACGTCGTACACTCTAGTCGTCCATAGGTACGCCATTTCGATTGACACTCTTTGAGAACTCAAATTTGACAAACAGAACAGGTAATATAACAGCTTATCTTCCGGCCACTGTGCAGACCACTCGGCCTTCACGCTATGGCTCATTGCTATTGCATCGGGTCATATCACACATAGAACTGGCATCACTGCGCACTCCGCTCGAAATGCCAGCTGACGACGAAGTTGCGCTCGTCAAATGTCGCCCTTTGCTGCCGGCTGAATTGAATGTGCACCCGTTAAGAGGTGGGAATATTATATAATATCGCACTAGTGGGAATCCGTGTACATGAGGTAGCGGAACGAGCAGCCAGAACAAATGAATCTGGCCATCTACACTCTGTGACACGGGTACTAGGTACTCACTGCTACGTCTGTTGCAGTATTTGCCGCGACGCTCCAAACTTGAGCTGTACACTATTCCCTGACTCGCCAGAGGAGGGCTTCTGCGGGGCACGTTGTTTTTTTCTTAGTGGGGGTATACCTCGTGAGCCTTATTTAATGGAATCGGAAGTTCCCTTTCAAGATTATGGACAACTGTATGCTCCTCGATCCAGCTCCGTCTGGTTCTAGTCACTAGAGTCAATATTAATGACACGATGTAATGAAGTTGGGCTGGACCGAAGGTTAGATTGGAGCACGGCTGCCAACGGTGAGATTACGACGACCTTCTGGTAACGTGCTTTGATTGTTGACATTCAGGACACTCCACTGGTAGCACCCAACCTCTTCTCGTCAGTAATTCTAGCACATTGTCACTGGAGTACAACGCTGTGGTCGACCGGGCCCATGTTCCAACAACTACGGATGACATCCCGATATCTTTGTTTTCCATTCTTACTATTCGACCTACACTCGACCCAAGCGGAACGGCAGAACCCACTGCTCCATGTGCCTCGTTGACTGACAATGGCAATACTCCAACGGGCAGAACGAGTAGCAAGATGATCTGAGACAGTAGGTCTGAGGTAAAAGGATGTTCCACATAACATTGAGCAATTGTATTTCTACTACCAAGAAAGTGTGAAGTATCCACGCAAGATGTATATATAGCGAGGTAATAAAAAGCGGAAGTGAAAATCCACGAGTCAGGGACGGGTGCTGGCATGGGCACCATTATACTTACTACCAAGTAAATACAACACTACGACGAAAACTTTGTCCAGTCCTATGTCTCCTTAAAATCTACTTCGGAATCAATACCAGTGACGAAAGTGGGAATAAATAAAAGCAATTTCCCCTGCTCTTTGTAGAGCACCAGACAGCCGTTAACTTCACCGAGCATTACACACCACTACCAGGTCGATATATGCACGCGCTCTTGGAAAGCAATTGAGGTCATGCCGGTTGCTGCGTCAGAGTCTGCCACGAGCTTAGCGTGAAACTCTCGAACACCAAGGATCAGGCGGGGGTCCCAGCACAAACATCTGCACGATAGTGAAAAATCTGAAGAAAGCAAGAAAAAAACCTCCGCTGCCGGGGAGAATCCGTCCTATAGAAATGATGAACCATGGTCACATGCAGGGGTTCAGTGAAAGATTGACATACCGCTGAGAATGTTGGAGACAGATCAATAATGAGACTGAAGCAAGAAACAGCAACAAAGCTGGCATATCCGATCCTTTAGCAGGAAACGGGAACCATATTCACAATGTAAGCTCACCTCGCAAAGTAAAGCACGTGAGTTTTCATCAACACCGTGAAACAGTCCCCCATAATGCCTCCTGTCGAATGTTGTCGCAGCTCACGGAAGTGTTTGACAGCAATCCACAGTGCGAGACATAGTGCGAGGAACTCCCACACAAAGCCGAGGATCCAAGTAATGGAACCCAGAAGTGAGACGTCATTTTTCGCATAGCCAATCGAGCACTGATAAGTGCCAGGAGAGAATGAGTTCCTCTGGTATTCATCAATGAGATGCATATTTTTTGGCATCCACTGATTAAGCGTACCCCCAGAAGCATACATCGTTGTCATCACGGTGGCCACTCCACTGAAAATGTTGACAGCCAGTAAGATGACAATGAGAAATATCAGGATCCTTCTGGACCGTTGATACATGGCATACAACCGAGTGACCATGATGACTTGCACCATGTTTCAGTCAAGTCAAAATCACTGAAGTTTTCACAAGTGCCAAGCTCACCAAACAACATTGTAAATACCAAAACCCCTGTCTGTCACGAATTCCAAATACAAATCATTATTCTTTCTTGAACACTCGTAAGACAACCCATTAAGCGCCCGTCACAAGCGCCTGTCGTTAGCGCTCAGTCAGCGTCTGTACCTATGACATTCACAAACCCTAACCCGAACTCATCCTTTACATTTCCGAACTTCTCTATTCCGTTAGCGCCTACTACCGTTATCTCCGACATCCCTGATTTCGACTTCCTTTCACAAGCGATTAAGTCACGTGACTCTAGAACCTTCGAGAACCCTTGCACAGCTGTTACACGTTTCATGACATCATAGTGTAGTTATATTTAGATCATCGTACGATTCCCTTTCCTATTTAATGATTGGCTAGTTAGTTCAGATTCAGATTCAGTCTCCGCTTCAATATATGTATATAGGTAGCTCGTTGTAGTCAGTAGTTCTTTAGTTCAAACCTCTTTTGTATTAGCTCACTGCTAGCAATCCTAAGACGTCCCTGCTCATTATACTCTTTTCTTGTTGTGATAACCTCTGTCCAATTCGTACGTCATATATAATAAGGCCTAACAAATTCAGTATGTATCAGCCTCGGGTAGCACCCACTCAAAACAAACTCACATCTGTTGCATAGTGTGGCAGTAATTAGTGAACCAAGAAGTTGTAAAGGAACCACACCCACTGCTACAGGGCTCCACGGTTAATTGGAGGAGAATAGTAGGCATCTGCGCAGAAGACTCACTGTATCTGTCAGCGAGATGGTAGTAACACTGCCTGTATGCCGTTGATCAGAAGAAGCGAAGGCAGTGAATGTATTGAGGAGACATACTCAGCATGTACAGGCTGATTAGGAGAGATAGACGATTAGCGCAAAGACTGATAGTTTAGCCTTCCGAACATACGCGGCATATAAAATTCCAAGGTAGCGCACCTAGGATACCTTCAAATCAGTACAACATGACAACAGTGACAGGCAGGCTACATACACTGAGATACAGAGCTGTCATTAGGGACCAGCGTTGTCTCTGGAATTAAGGGTACTTTCATGTGTGTTCCTCTGACATGAGACTCCACTTACCCAGACCAATTCGATCTATAAAACTATTCTTAGCGAGATGGCTACTCCGGTCATAGCATCAGCATACCTCTTGTCCAAATGTAAGTGCTGAAAATACTTGTAAGATATCAGCAGTTCTTCAATATTATCATGCTCACCCCAATCATATGTCACTACAACAAAGGAGGCAACTGCGAAACCACAGTCAAGATTAGATTGAGGCATCAGCTTCAACATCCGACTGCTCTCTACGAACCTACAGAGTAGCTTGTAATACGATATGAATTGATGGTCGGCCACCAAGGTGGGATCATTTGAGACTATGGTCATATTGGTAGAGAATGGGGGTGCGGGGTGAGAGGTGAACTTGGTAGACATGTGGTGATTGCATATATACCACCATCCAGTGCTGAGCTCACCAAAATGAGATCGAGGGATGATGGACGTTGCTGCCTTGATTGCCGCAATTAAAGATAGAAGGAAAGGGCCAAACCAAAAATAGACCGCCAGAAATAGGGGAGATCTACACGAAGCAAACATATAACTCACGTTCTACCGGTGTGCGAGCACATGTCTCAATGTCTGCTATCCCTGCTCCTCGTCCTCAGGTTATCTGTCGCTTCATGAGCACCTTCTCGCTCTCTGCCTCGATTATCGGGTTTTCGGATCATAAGGTTTGCAACAATGATGAATGCAGAATCTTCGATCTGCATCGTGGAGCTGATGCGGTGATGAAGGGACACAGCCAGAGATAGCCTAGTTGAGAATCTCTTATTGATATACAATGAATTCAAACAGCGCTGAGACAGGGTATGGGGAAAGAAGACTCGCGGGCGCGTTGTTATGACGGCACGAAGCCTGACTGGTTGTTCTTCAAACTGTACAGGCTGATTTGGTAAAACTTCATCAACAACCTGAAGCCTCAGCAACGTCTATATCCTAGGGCTCTCGATTTGTATAGGAACGATTGAAGGCGGTAACATTCTGTTGGCAATCGTACATTAGCATCGTTAAATCTTTGAGCAGCGCGTTTGGTGATTGGGAGGAAACGAGGAGAGCAAATGCCTGAAACATGAAGGATGATCGATGACTCGTCATATAACGGGAGAAATCGTACCTCTTCGTGTACCCATGGAAAGTGTCCGGCTATCACTTTGACTCTGACTTTGCTCTCCTCACTAACGCTTCCCCCAACAACACCATCATCCAACCTCCCAATTCCCTATTACTGGGATCGATGGATGCTTTCAGTGTTCTTCGTCCGCCAGGCGTCACAAAGCCCTACTCGGTGGAATTCTCAATTCTCAGATGAGACACATAGCATAGTGAGCCAATGGCGCTTACATTCGGAATGGATGTAACAATCCCCGCTCGAGCTGATTGATAGTATGTCATTCGCTTACTCTAATAAACATGAAAACAGGAATGGGAGTCTAACGCTTATCTTCAAGATATATTCCACACCGTCACTTGGCGCAAGTGTAGGCGGAAAGCTGGGGTGGCGTGTCAGTGCTACCCCAAGTTGGTGACGTGAACAAGATGACGGTTTTATTTCGGCACACCAAATAACTTAAGTACTAGTACATAATCCAATACCAGGGAAGCTTAGCTCAAACCTATTTCTCCTTGAAATCCACTTCGCAACATCAAATGACTAATAAGTACCACAACGAATTCTGAGATCAAGAAAAAAACAATCTCGTACTCCTTCAGAACAACAGACAACCGTTAGCTCCACCGAGCATCTCCCGTGCTATACACCATTGCCAGTCGATATATGCACGCGCTCCTGGAAAGCGATTGAAGTCATGCCAGTTGCTGCGTCAGAGTCGGCCACGAGCTTAGCGTGATATTCTCGAATACCAAGGATCAGGCGTGGTCCTAGCACATATGTCTGCGCAGCCTGAAAAATTTGAAGGCAAGCCGTAATAAGTCTGAGTTTGCAGGGAAACTTGATCCTATAGAGGTGATATACCATGATTGCATGCAGAGGTAAGTGAAAGATTGACATACCGACGAGAACATTGGAGAGAAATCAGAAACGAGCTGGAGGCAAGAAACAGCCACAAAGCTACCACATCCAACCCTCAGTGGACAAAGGGAACAATAATAACAATATGAACTCACCTCACAAAATAAAGCATGTGAGTTTTGATCAACACCGTGAAACAGTCCTCCATAATCCCTCCCGGCGAATGTTGTCGCAGCTCACGGAGGTGTTTTACCGCAATCCAGACTGCGAGACACAGTGCGAGGACCTCCCACACAATCCCGAGTATCCAACTAATGGAATCTAGAGCTATTAAATCTTCTGCACTGTCAATCGAGCACATATAGGTGCCAGAGAGAACGAGTTCCTCTGGGATTCATCAATGAGTTCCGTACACGTTTGTTTTCATCCATAATTAAGCGTACCTCCTGAAGACTGCATCGTTGTCATCACGGCAGCCACTCCATTGAAAATGTTGATAGCCAGGAAGGTGACAATGAGAAATATCAGGATCTTTCTGGATCGTTCATACATGGCATACAACCGAACGATGATGATGACTTGCAGCATGTTTCAGTCAATATCACTAAGGTCTCGCGAGTGCCAAGCTCACCCCACAGCATTGCATATACAAAAACACCAACCCAATTCCGTACGATAAACAAAATAAAGCCTGGGGAATACAGTCAGCGACCAGCCCCGGATAGCACACACACCAAACGGACTCACATCTGTGGCAGTATAAGGTGGCGGTGAACCAAGAAGCTAGTGAAGAATCACACTCACTCCTACAGGGCACCACGGTTAATCGGAGGGGAATAGCAGGCATCGGTACAGAAGACTCACTGTATCTGTCAGCAAGATGGTCGGGACGCCGCCTGTGTACCGTTGGTCAGAAGAAGCAAAGACAGTGAATGTACTAAGGAGACATACTCAGTAGGTTGAGGCTGATTATGAGAGACAGAGGATTAGCACAACACCGATAGTTTAGCTTTCCGAACATACACAGCAGATAACATTCCAAGGTAGCGCACCTAGGATACTTTCGAGTCAGTACAACATGGCAACCTCGACAAACAAGCTACGTACACCGAGATACAGAACTGTCATCAGGGACCAGGGTTGCATCTGGAATCAAGTGGATTTTTATGTGTTTTCCTCCGACATGAGACTCTGCTCACCCAGATCAATTCTACCTATAAAACCATTCTTAGCGAGATGACTGCTCCGGTCACAGCATCAACATACCTCTTGTCCGAATGTGAGTGCTGAAGATACTTGTAAGATATCAGCAGTCCTTTAATATTATCATGCTCACCCCAATCATACGTCACACCAACATATGCAGCAACTACGAAACCATAGTCAAGGTTAAATTGAGACGTCAGCGTCAATATCCGACTGCTCCCTACGAACCTACAAAATAGCTCAAAAAACGATATGCACCGATGATCGGCCACCAAGCGGGATCATTTGAGACCATGGACATATTGGCAGAGAATGGGGGTGTGCAAGAAGTGAACTTGGAAAACATATGGCGATGGCATATATACCACCATCCAGTGCTTGGATCACCTAAATGAGATCGAGGTGTGATGTCCGTTGCTACATCAATTGACCACAGGTAAAATCAATCAATCAATATTGGTCATGACTCGTGAAACATGCTAAAGCCGCACCAAAGATAAACCGTCAAAATAGGCGATATTCACACGAAGAAAACAAATAACTCACGAGCGCATATCTCAATGTCTACTATCCTTCCTCCTTGTCCTCGGGCCATCTGTCGCTTCATGAGTATCTTCTTGCTCTGTTCGGGCTGTCATACCATAAGGTTGTCAACAATGATGAGTGCAGAATCTTCAATCTGCATCGTGGAGTTGGTGCGGTGCATCAGTTTGCACAGCCAGAGTCGATGACCCTGGTTGAGGTGCGGTGGTGACAGACGCCAGGTTGCACAATGCACAGCCAGAGAGATCCTAGTTGAGAATCCGTGATTGATATCTAGTGAAGATACAAACCCATCCCTAGATTAAGACAGCGCTGGAGACTCCTATTTTATATTGCTTTAAATAACTTTATCATTTGTTCATGGTTCTCTGATGGAGGCGATAGGAAAATATTCAAAAGAAGACTCATCGCATTGTTCTCATTCCTGTGATACAATAACCGAGGTGGAAAACTAGAAGATAGCGAACAGGACTTTTAGTTTGTGTTCTTTGTTTTTGTACGGGACTGTGGATAGAGCAAACAGACCCGCGGCCGCGCCGCGCCGTGGCACGCTGACTACTCGAGCTCGTTCCTCGCGCGTCTTGTGGTTGCCTTGGGTGAGTTTTCCGTGAACTAGTACTAGTTGGCGTGAGTCAGCAGTGAGACGCATGGTGTAACAGTGTAACTTAGCTAAGACTGTCGTCCCTTAACTGTTACGCCAGTGATACTGAAAGCTTATGGTTCAGTATCGCGGACAGTATTTATGTAGATTATGGGAACTCTAGTAAGCCAGCGCGCTTACACATGGGCAGGACATTGAATGAGGCGAGAAGATGAATCGAGGACGGATTGCTGAGGAACCAAAGCAATCTTAGCGCCGCGTGGGGACGATTATCATCACACGGAGGAAAGAAGGGCCAGTGGTTGCTACAAGTGTGGTTGGGCAGTTAGTATACTGGTAGAGATACCCAGGATATTGGTTTAACCATTGCCAGAATGCATAGCAAATCACTTAACGAAATACTATGATACACAGACATTGAAATCTGCTTCTTCGTAACACCAAACAACTTAATCAACACCATCACGAAAGTGGGAATAAATAAAAGTAAATTCCCCTGCTCCTTGGAGGGCACTAGACAACCTCACCGAGCGTTACACACTACCGCTAGTCGATATATGCACACGCTCTTGGAAAGCGATTGAGGTCATACCAGTTGCTGCGTCGGAATCAACCACGAGCTTAGCGTAATATTCTCGAATGCTAAGGATCAGGCGGGGGTCCCAGCACAAACGACTGCACGATCGTGAAAATCTGAAGAAACCCAGAATATAACTGAGCTTCGCGGGAATTTTGGACCTATAGAAATGATGAACCATAGTCGCGTGCAGGGATCAGTGAAATATTAATTGACAACACCATTGAGAATACTGGAGAGAAGTTAAGAATGATGCTGAGGCAAGAAACAGCAACAAAGCTGGCATGTCCGACCCTTTAGCGGAAACGGGAACCCATATTCACAGCATGAGCTCACCTCGCAAAGTAAAGTATGTGAGTTTTGATCAACATCTTGAAACAATCCACAATATTGGCTCCTGCAGAAGGTCGTCGCTGTTCACGGATGTGTTTTACAGCAATCCAGACTGCGAGACATAGTGCGCAGACCTCCCACACAGTGGAGGCTATCCAAGCAATGGAATCCAGAAGTAGGATATCTTCCGCATAGCTAATCGAGCACAGATGGGTGCCGGAGAGAATGAGTTCCTCTGGGATTCATCAATAAGATGCATATTTTTGTCATCCAAAATTAAGCGTAGCGTACCCCCTGAAGTATACATCGTTGCCATTACGGCGACCACTCCGTTGAAAATGGTGTCAGCCAGAAAGATGACAACGAGAAATCTCAGGATTTTTCTGGATCGTTCATACATGACATGCAACCGAGTGATGATGATGACTTGCAGCATGTTCCAGTCAAATCAATATCACTCAGGTCTCGCAAGTGCCAAACTCACCCCACAGCATTGCAAATATCAAAACACGCGTCCAATTCCATATGATGTACATATTCCAGCCTGACGAATCCTGTTAGCAATCAGCCTCGGGCAGTACACACTCCAAACAGACTCACATCTGTGACAATATGGTGTGGCAGTCATTAGTAAACTAAGAAGTTTGGTAGTAAAGAACCACACCCACTCCTACAGGGCACCTCGATTAATTGCAGGGTAATAGTAGGCGTATGTGTCGAAGACTCACTGTATCTGTCAGCCGGATGGCCGGAACACTGCCTGTATGCTGTTAGTCAGAAGAGGTGAAGACAGTGAATGTACTAAGGATAGATACTCAGTAACGGTCCACTGATTATGAGAGGTAGATCATTAACACGAGTCCGATTGTTTAGCCTTCCGAACATACACAACATAAAAGATTCCAAGGTAGCGCACCTAGGATACTTTCAAATCAGCACAACATGACAACAGTGACAAGCAAGCTACATACACCGAGATACATAGCTGTCATTAGGGACCAGCGTTGCCTCTGGAATTAAGTGTATTTTCATGCGTGCTCCTCTGGCATGAGATTCTACTCACCCAGACCAGTTCGACCTATACATAAAACCAAATATTCTTAGTAAGATGACTGCTCCGGTCATAGCATTGACATACCTCTTGTCCCAATGTAAGTGCTAAAATACTTGTAAGATATCGGCAGTCCTTTATGATCATGCTCACCCCAATCATATGTCAGTCCAACAAAGGCGGCAACTGCGAAACCGCAGCCAAGGTTAGATTGAGACATCAGCTTCAACATCCGACTGCTCTCCACGAACCTACAAAATAGCTTAAACCACGATATGAATCAATGGTTGGCCACCAAGTGGGATCATTTGAGACTATGGTCATATTGATAGAGAATGGGGGGTGCGGGTGAGAGTAGATGTATGGCGATCGCCCGTCCTGCCTTGAGTGTGGAGTCTTCAATTTGCAATCTGGTGTTGATGCGGTGATGTCATGCATCATCATGTGTCAGTTTGCACAGCCAGCTCCGTAGTTGAGAATCTGTAATGAGCATCTGGTGAAGAGACATTGGAAACAGAAGACTCAGGCGCCTGTTAGTATGACCGCATGATGTCTGAGTTGTTACTCTTCAAACTTACACGCTCATTCCGTAGAACCGCGTCGACTAGCCTCAGCAGCGTCTATATCTCAGGGCTCTTAATTGTATATACAATGTCCGATGCTCCTCCATGTCCTAAGTATATGCCGCCTGCTGCACACCTTCTGGTCCTTCACCTTCGTCATCGGCCTATTGTATCATAAGGATATCATTGAACGATAAGTGCGGAGCTGATACAGGCACACCGCAGTCGATCTTGCATCAATCATCACAGCCTGATTCAAGATCAACGTTGATGTGCGGAGAGTATGGCACCATCCTTGGATTACAGATAGAAATGAGAGGGCACTGGGAGAAAATAAGATCCAGGCATCGCCCTTATGACGAGAGGAAGTTAGCACGCCATCATACAAGTTAGAAATGAAGTCAATACTACAAAGTAATAGTCAACTCGCCTCCAGTCCGAATGCATAACCCTCAACGTTCATCGTGTAATCCCATGCACTGCTTTCCCCGTTCCACCCAAATCCTCGTTCCAGGGATGAGTCGCCTCATGCACAGTTGCACACCTCACTTCGGAGTCACATCCTTGACCAGCATCCTATGTAGTAAGATCCATCAATTGCATGATGGATTTAGCATAGCGTGTGTTTTTGTCAAAGAGTAGCACCAATAACTCACCACATCATTCTCATCCCTGTGATATCAATGACTGATCAAGGTGATAAATGCCAGAAGATAACGAGCAGAGGGCTGCTCAATTCTAAAAGTTCGCGTTCACTTGGGATCCGAGCAAGTTACGACACTGATTAGCGACGCTTATAACTCCTTGTTTGGAACCGGACGCCGGCCGTCAACCGGTGACTTTCGGAATCATGCGTTATCAACTTGATCAGTTCCCATCGTTCAACGCGTCGCTCAACATTCAACGGTGATCGATATGCCCCGCGCACAGCAGCGAAAGCAAGACCATAGGGATATTTTAATTTTACATTCTGTTGTGGCTAGTACATTGGCATATCTAGGCATAAGCAAGGCCACCTTGAGGAGCTTTTCACTCCAGATCATCAAGATCTCGACGACGACGAAGGCAATGAACGGCTCACCCGTTTTTTGCGCAGGACAGCCACGGGCCTTCATGCTCTCTCTCTGATGATATCCGTGCCCAGCTCTCGTGGTCCTTATACCCAGTGGCGAAAGTGCAATGAGTTTTTTGATGTATCATTGAGTTGGCCTGATCGAGACTTTCGTCACGAATATCGGGTGAGTTGTTTCGTTTTTGATCTTCTTAATGCGCTGATGGTCTGGTAGTGTTAGTCGTGCAACTTTTGACCGTTTAGTGCGAATCTTGGAGGAGAACCCCATCTTCAAATTGACGGGGAGGAAACCACAGCGACCTGTACACTATCAGCTCGCGTGTTTCCTCCTTCGTTATGGGACTCATGGCGGCGACTCGCTGCAAGCTGCCCACAAACTTGGGATTGGTTTCGGAACTGTGTTCCTCTATTGCAAGCGTGTAGTCCGTGCTCTGCGGGAGATTGGCATGCAAGTAGTCACATGGGGTGACGAGACTCGTCAGAACGAAACGACATGATGGGTTTTGGACCGGTCGGGAATTCCAGATTGCATTGGAATGCTCGATGGCTCCCTCATATGGCTCACCGAAATGCCAGATTGGAATGGCCTGACATTTATTTGTCGAAAGAAATTTCTCGCTGTAAGTAACTCTCAAACACAACATTTTCTGTTAACTTACTTGATACGTAGATCAATGTTCAAGCCGTCATCGACCACGAGAAACGATTCACTGCAATCGAGCTAGGGTGGCCAGGATCAGTCTCGGACGTGACGATGTGGAAAAAATCTCACATCTGGCAACATCGGCTCGATTATTTCCCAAACAATACTCTCCTTCTTGCGGATAAAGGTATATTCTTTGTGACCCTCACATCTTTCATGCACTGACCCTGAACCAGGCTATCCATCATCACCCTACATCCTTCGTCCATTCACTGAACCCGAGGTCAATGGGCAGCTGCCTGCCAAAAAAAAAAACGCCGCCGCAAATTCAACAAGCGTTTGTCTTCACAGCGCATCATTGTTGAGCATACCTTTGGTTTGCTCAAGGGCCGTTTTCCCTCTTTAAGGGATTTGCCACCTGAACAGGACATTTGAGATACTTACCGTGTTGTCGAGGCACTTTTTGCCCTGCACAATATGTGCATTGACCTTGGAGATGTCCCTGAGCTCATTCCGTTGTTTGATAGTTCTGGCCCTGATCACGACAACACCAAGGATGATCAAGCTGATGTCGATATCTCTGGCTATGGTGGAGTTGTTGGGGATGATGAACCCGAACTTCCTGCATGGGAGTCAGATGAGTGGTTGAGGGAAGCTGGCCGTCATCGTCGTCTCGCAATTTTAAATGACCTTTTCCCATTAGATACTTGACAGCAATTACTGACCTGCAATAGTGAAATAATTCAATAACACTTGATGAGCCGCTGCTTTCACCTCTTCCGGCATCCCATCCATAGTCAAAATCTCTTTCGTGTTCCTCACCTTCGCCTCACTTTCTGCCAGTGTTACCTCAGCCCGTCCTTTCCCTATCATGTAATTATACTGTTTGTCCTCTCGAAGCTCACGTTTTTCGAGCAGTTTCAAGCGTGCAACATCACTGTCTGCTGTCGCCTTCAAGAATTCGACATTCGACGCAAAAAAACTCGGCAGCTTCATTGCCAATACCAGTCTGCAAAGCCTTGTGTTTGTGCCGTGGTGCAGGGACTCCCTTCTGCATCGTTGGCTTGACTTTCTTGTCACCTGCGGACAAAACGGATTTGCGTGCAGGTTGACCTGCTTTTGGCTTACTCTTTCTCTCCATATCACTGTCCTTGCTTTCACCATCACTGCCCTCCTCGCTGCTGATATCGATTGTATCTGAGATCATGCCAGAGCGAAAATCCTCCTCTCGCACAAGTCCCGGGTGCTCACCAAGCCTGCCGAGTCATGTAAGTAATGTTTTGTGCAGATGTCCAGCTACTCACCTGTCGTTGAACAGTGCATACCATCCCTCGTCATACCATTTTTTCAAGGTAGCACCAGATAAGTTCCCAATATCCTTCCCAGCAGTTCGAGCATTCTCAATCTTCTCGTCAAGGACTTCAACATCAGGATCACCACCACCATTGCCGGTGATGGACTCAAAAGTCAAAATATATGAAAACACTCGTCGTAAGTGTTCGTAATGTCCCTTGATTGACTCTGGGCTGCGCCGTCCTTTGAATATACGTTCGGAGACCTGTATGGTATGGTGTTAGCAGTTATCGAGGCGAGTCTACTTTGCATCTTTGTTACCTTTTTGAAGATGTGTTTAGCATTGCCAGTGAGGCCTTCATAGAATTCGCTGTCACCACCTAGCAGGGTTTCGAGTAAAAGTTTGGTGTCTTCGTCTGACCAATGGCTTTGCTCTTGAAGGTGAGCCATGGCTTGTTCCCCTTCAATTTTTGTCTTCGCCTTTGTCTTCAATTTTGCAGCTGTGGCCTTCCGCTTCGATCCTTTGCTGGCACAGGTTTCACTACTAGTCTGAGTTAATGGTGTGTTGTTCTCAGTTTTCTTTATCTTCTTCGCACTGTCACCATCTTCCAGGAGGTTACCATGATATTCCTCGTGTCCTCGCTTCTGTGGTTGTGGAGCCACTGTAGCTGGCAAAGGTCTTGGATCACATGCTGCCTCGTCTGCCCGAGTCAGACCATATACAAATTTATTCGAATCATTTGGTTGAGGCTGACCACATGCTTCGAGCACCTGGCGAATATGAGGAAGCTTCAGCTAGTCAGTATTTGTCAAGTATTATGTTCATGCTATTGGCCACTCACTTGTACTCTAGATTGCTGATTATGCTGTGGTTGGGGAATTAATTCATAGGGCTGCTCTTGTTGCAGCTGGCTGGATTCACGATACAGGATCAGTCACATACAGAGCTTGAAAAAATAATGACCTACTGTTTCGTGTCATACTAGTAATGCTCTGCACGATAATGCTGTTGCTGTTGCTGATACTGATTTTGTGTGTTGTGTGCAGGCACTGCTGTGACTACTGCCCGGTGCTCGTAACTGGTCAGTGGAGCAGCATGTTGTCCACCTCCATGCGGCATGGCATAGCCATATCGTGGTTGCTCCTGCTGTCGAGTGTATCCACCACCATTGTGAGGATAGTAGTCCATTGCTACTGTGCTGGAGCCGTTTACACTGGCAGTACAACAACTACCAGCCAGACACATCCGGGCTTCTTCGGAGTTGAGACTAATTTACGGAGCGGAAATGAATCGCTTAAGACTAAAATAACTCTACTTATGATATTCGGATCCCAAGTGAACACAAACTTTTAGAATTGAGCAGCCCTCAGGACTTATCGTTTGTGCTGTTTGCTGTACAGCTGGACCGTGGATAGAAACGGAATTTGTGATGATGACTCATGAGAGTTGAACTGGTCAAAGGCCGTGAGGATGACCTAATCAGGAATTCGCTGTGCCTTGTCAATCTACTCAACTTATTTTATCACCTGCAGGTCGATTACAGTGTTATACAATCTTACATGGAGCCCTAGTCAACGATCCCTTCTTCAATATTACCCCGACAAATATATTGCTCGAATATCTCGACTTTCCAGCTCAAAGCACTGCTTTCATTCGCTACCTCTCATCCTTTCCAGTCGACTCAATATCATTCCCTTGCATTTCCCTACCAGATTTCCCCTCCTCCCAGCTAAGTGCGCATCGGTGCATGCCACAATTCGCTGGGTATCCATAAATACATTCCTTTGGAAAAACGTGAGTATCCATGTATCCTATAATCACTTTTTCGACTTGCATTTTTCAGTCTCAAGTCTCGACCCACACCTGCACCAACACTACGGCTACTACTCAGTCCTCCGCAAACCGCTCCCATCACTCACAAAGCCTGCCTATGGCACCCACCGACTGGCAACCTGATGGCCTATTCATGTCTGTCATGCTCCAATTGTCGTGCTCAGAGGGTCTCTGTCTTTTGTTTGAAATATGTTGTCATTCTGAAATCTTCTTAATGGTAGTCGCCCTCCCATGCACATATATTCTTATGAAAATTCTCAATACAACGTCCTTCAAAGATCATCGATCCTTCCCTCAAATATCTCAGAGTACCACCACGACCTGGAGCATGCACGCACTTTCCAAATTCGACCACCTAATCAAGGCCCTAACATCGATGCATTATCAAGATTGTTGAAGACATGTTGGCCACATCTACGTAATCACTTTAACAATCCTGCTACGTCCCGGAGATGGTCTCTGCCAGCCGCTACATCGAGAGATTCGTCTCTCTGTTTCGAAGTCGCCATCACGTCCACAACCTGACGTCAGGCAGCAGATGCTCGACTCCTGCACTATCGCTAGTGCTGGTGCCTGCATGTTCGTTCCTGGGTGTGTCGCGTCACCGTTTGGAACCACGCCGACAAGCCGTTTTGTGTTTGGCTTTTATGTTTCCTCCGAGTTTCGGAAAGCTGCCAAAGTTAATTACACTGGCCATTCATGGAGTCGATGTGTGCCTGACGAGGCAGACAATCACCAATATCCAGCAAGCTCAGTGTCTTCAAACCCTCACGCTTGCTTTGCACGGGACCTCCTATGATGCGGGTGGTATACCCTTTGAATTGCATAATCTCAAGTACTTTTCTCTGTCTCTTTGGTGGTTCCTTGTCACAGTCCACACACTTCCTTCGTCAGTTCATCGCCCGACAACTATCATACGTCAGTATCGGTCCGAACCTGCTTCCCCGACCGAAATCACCGCGTTCATCGAATCTTTGTCCACGTCGTGCCAAACTTTTGGATCCTTGTCCCTTGCATTTTCCCACTAGATTTCCCCTCTTCCAAACTAAGTGCACGTCGGTGCAGGCCACAATTTTCTGCAGGGCTATCCATGAGTGGGAAACGGTGGGCGTCCATGCACCCTATTAAATCACATTTTCAACTTGCATTTTTCAATCTCGAGTCTCAACCCACATCAACACCACTCAGTCCTTTGCAATTTCTCGAAACGTGCCTATAGCACCCACCGATCTGGTGGCCTGTTCATGCTAGTCATGCTCCACCGCCAATTATCGATGTTCTTCTCACCAAGGTTAAATTGTCGTGCCTAGAGCGCCTGTCATTTGTTTCAAATATTTATCATTTTTGTGTGTCTGAAATCTTCTTAATGATAGTCGCCCTCCAATGCACACATGTTCTTATGAAAATTCGCAATACAGCGCCCTTCGAAGATCATCGAACCTTTCCTTCTTCAACGCCCTCAAATGATTCGGAGTCAAATCTCCCAGAGTACGACAGCGACCTGGAGCGTTCTTACTCGCACTCTCCAAATTCGAAAACCTAAATCAATGCTCCAACGTCGACGACATTGTCAAGCTTGTTGAAGACACCTTGGCCGCATCTACGTAATCGCTTTGCAAGTCCTGCTACATCCCGGAGGCGGTCTCTACCAGCCAGCTACATTGAGAGATCCACCCTTCCCTGTCTCGAAGTCGCCATCACATTCACGACCTGACATCAAGCAACAGACTTCTGGTTGGTGCGAGTGTGGGTGGGCAGCTAGAGCCAGTCCGGGGATATTGGTTTAAACATCGTCAGGACGTATAGAAATTTGAAAATCACATAATTAAATACTACAATGAAACATTGCCTATACCCATGTCTCCTTTAAATCTACACCAAATAACCTAGATCAATACCAGCATGAAAGTGGGAATAAATAAAAGCAAATCCCTCTGAGAACTAAACAATTTCACGGAGCGTTACACACTACTGCTAGTCGATATATGCACACGCTCTTGGAAAGCGATTGAAGTCATGCCAGTTGCTGCGTCGGAATCGGCCACAAGCTTAGCGTGATACTCTCGAACGCTAAGGATCAGACGGGGTCCTAGCACAAACATTTGCACGACCCCCAAAATCTGAAGCAAGCCATAATAAGTCTGAACTTCTAGGGAAGATCGATCCTATAGAGATGATGAATCGTAGTCGCATGCAGATGTCAGTGGGGGTTGGCATACCGCTGCGATCGTTGGAGAAAGAGAAAGAACGAGGTGAGGGAAGAAACAGCAACAAAACTAGCAGGTTCGATTGCTCAGCGGAAAAAGGGGACCAGATTCACAAGATGTGCTTACCTCACAAAGTAAAGCGCGTGGGTTCTCATCAACACCGTGAAACAGTCCACGAGAATCCCTCCTGCCGAATGTCGTCGCAGTTCACGGAAGTGTTTTACCGCAATCCAGACTGCGAGACACAGAATGAGGACCTCCCATACAGTGCCGAGTACCCAAGCAATTGGATCCAGAAGTAGTATATCTTCCGCATAGCCAATCAAGCAATGATGGGTGCCAGAGAGAATGAGTTCCTCTGGTATTCATCAATGAGCCCTATGCACGTTTTTGGTCCATAATTAAGCGTACCCCCTGAAGTATGTATCGTTGTCATTACGGCGACCACTCCGTTGAAAATCATGTCAGCCAGGAAGGTGACAATGAGAAATATCAGGATCTTTCTGGATCGTTGATACATGACATGCAACCGAGTGATCATAATGACTTGTATGTTTCAGTCAAGTCAATATCACTGAGGTCTTGCAAGTGCCAAACTCACCCCACAGCATTGGAAATACCACAACATACATCCAATTATATATAGTGAACATAGTCCAGCCTGAAAAATCCAGTTAGTGAGCAGCCTCGGGTAGCACACACTCCAAACGGACTCACATCTGTGGCAGTATAGTGTGGCGGTCATTAATGAACCAAAAGGTTAGCAAAGAAGTATACTCACTCCTGCAGAGCACCACGGTTAGTTGTAGGGTAATAGCAGGCATCTGTGCAGAAGACTTACTGCACCTATCAGCGAGATAGTAGGAACATTGACTGTATATAGTTGGTCAGAAGAAGCAAAGACAGTGAATGCACCAAGGAGGCATACACAGCACATTCAGACTAATTATGAGAGATAGACGATTAGGATGACACCGGTTGATCAGCTTTCCGAACATACGCAACAAATAACATTCCAATGTAGCGCACCTACATAGGGTTACTTTCAAGTCAGCACAACATAGCAACCGCGACAAACAAGCTACATACACCGAGATACAGAACTGTCATTAGGGACCAGCGTTGTCTCTGGAATTAAGTGCATTTCCATGTGTGTTCCTCTGACATGAGACTCTACTCACCCAGACCAGTTGAACCTATAAAATCATTCTTAGTAAGATGGCTGCTCCGGCCACAGCACTGACATACCTCTTGTCCGAATGTAAGTGCTGAAAATACTTGTAAGCTATCAGTAGTTCTTCAATATTATCATGCTCACCCCAATCATACATCACTACAACAAAGGCGGCAACTGAGAAACCGCAGTTGAGGTTAGATTGAGACATCAGCTTCAACATCCAACTGCTCTCTACGAACCTACAAAGTAGCTTAGAACACGATATGAATTGATGGCCGGCCACCAAGTGGGATCATTTGAGACCATGGTCATATTGGTGGAGAATGGGGGTGCGGGAGGCAAACTTGAAGGACGTATTGGCGGTGGTATATGGGCGCAGCAGTAAACCGGTGAGACTCAGATATTCCCAGGTATGGTACCTGTTTCCTCTACACTACACGACGTTATAAAACAATATAAAGCACTACAAAATCTGAGTCTCACCGGTTTGCTGATGCCATATACCTCCACCCAGTGCTTGGATCTCCCTGAGATCGAGGGATGATATCGATGATGTCCATTCCTGCCCTGACTGATCAATCAATTCAGGGGCTGAACGTATACATTGACCGTGAAACGTTTGCACGGGCAGAACACTTGAACACCGTAAAAGGTAGAAGACAAATTATGTCGGCGCATGCCAAGGCCATACTAAAATAAACTGTCAAAAATATGGGAGATCTACATCTACATGAAGCAAACACATGACTCACGTTCTACCCGGGTGCGAGTACATATCTCGATGTCTACTATCCATGCTCCTCACCCTCGGGCCATCTGTTGCTTCATGAGCACCTTCTCGCTGTCTGCCTTGGTCACCAGGCTTTCGTATCATGAGGTTGCCAACAATGAGCACAGGATCTTCTGGAGTTTGTGTGGTGGTGACAGGGCATCAGTTTTCACAGCAAGAGACGTCCTAATTGAGAATGCCTAAATGATATATAGTGAATTGAGATCCTTAGATCCAAGCAGTTCTAAGAGAGGACACGCAGAAAATAAGACTCAAGCGCGTTGTTATGACCGCATGAAGCTTGACTTGTTTTTCAAACTGTACAGGCTGATTTGATCAATATCCAACACGAGATCTGGCGTCCACCACGTCATGCTGTGTTGTTGCCTTTTTACGGATCTTTCCGTCTCTCCATCTCCTTTTTGCAGCTCTTTGCTCGCGACCTCTGCTTCATTTCACGGCGTTGTTGGTCTTCAAACGGAAGCAGATATCAGATCGATAAAAAGAATTTCTTGCGCTATGACCCGGGATTCATCACCACTCCAGAAATCGGAGATATTGTGTAAATGTATTCACTTCTGGCGCTAACACTGCTTCTGCGGAAGACGGAATCTATCTATTGGATGCGCGGACAACTATCGATCCCATCATAGAGGCCGGTCACGCATCATTAAGTGCACCCGAACACATACCTGACTACCTTGCAATATTGACCCATCCCGGAGTATCCGTTCGTTGCCTGGATCTCTAACAGAACTGCATTTGCGCCATTCAATGAAAACCTCTCGGTGGAAAAAGGCTTGGTCAGAAAACGCGCGCGTGCGGATAGTTGCTCTGCATCGTCGATTTATTGAAGTCCAACTCGTCAATACTTTCGAAAGCCACTGCATTCCCCGCATCAACTTTGCGTTTCATCCAAACCGTTCGTCGTGGACGGTGAATCGAAGATAGTTTCCTTTGCGACTCGCGTATGCAACTACATTTAATGGTTGTCAAGGCTTGACGCTGGCACGAACCGTGCTCGACTTTCGAACGGATCCCTTTGCTCACGGTCAGTTGTACACGGCACTATCGAGGGTAAGAACGCGAAGAGACACGATGTGTCTATTCGCAGAGGCAAACGAAGGACAAGACTGTGCCAATATTGTATCTCCTGCGTTGCTACTGTAAAGTATTGTTGTATACAACCGACCGAAGGAGAGTCTTGCTACTGTAAACACAATGTATTGTCATGGAGCCGACTGAAGGGGAGTCCTTGTTACTCAATAAGCCTCAACAGCGTCCATATTCTAGGGCTCTTAATTTGTATAAGAAAGACAGAAGGCGGTAAAATTCTGTTGGCACGTCATCAGAAAGGAACGAGTGGAGAGAGTAGCTCACCTGTGCCATACAGCTGCCAAAGCGCACCCTCGACGTTTATTCAAATGAAAACCAATGCAAAACTTGGCCTAAAAGATAGGCGTGATGCGACCGACCCTTCGAAAAAGCTTGCTGTCTCGATTATTCTCGATGGGTATCAGCGGTCTCCCAAGTAACAGGACCTCCAAGGTTATTCAGCAAGGGGAGTTAATGTCGACATGACAGAAACGTTGGATATGTAAAAGAAGGGTGAAGCAGACAGATCACTCACCTGTATAAACCCTTTAAAATGAATAATCCGCGTCTTAAGCATACACACACATTCTCGCCCTCCACCTCGGTCATTGGCCTATCATATCATAAAAATGCCAATAAATGGTAAGTGCGGAATCTGATACAAGATACATCGCACTCAATTTGCAGCGTGCGGCTGATCGGATATATTGGATACGAGCGTTCCTTACGCCTTCGGACGTCCCTTAGCAGTCTTATTTTAACAGATGACTCGAATGATTACAATAATAGATGTTTATAAACCACATTCGCTGTCGTCTTTTCCTCGTTCTCTTCTCCGAATAGTGCGCGAATGTCTCTTCGACAACGCACTCTCGATACGGCGGTGTATAGTTAACCATGCGCGAACGAATCCGTGCGCAAGTCGAGCACTGCTTTTTCTAACGTCAGCCCTTGACAACCGTTAAAAGTCGTTGCATATGCCGGTCGCAATGGAAACTGCTTTCGATTGACTGTCCAGCTTGAGCGTGGTGGATTGAAAGCAAATGTGATCCGAGACACGCAATGTATCTCGCCAGTGTTGGGCATCTGTACCTCCACAAATCTTCGATGAAGTGCAGCGATGCGCACACGTGCGTTACGCACAAGTCCATTTTCGACGGACATGTTGCGCTGTATTGCACATACGGCGTTGACTTTAAGATCCAATCGATGAGGTGGCGTGTTTGGATGAGTCAACATGGCGAGATAGTCCGGAGTTTGTTCTGGAGCATCTGGAGGAGCTTGCTCAACTTCTTGTGCGCTGCAAATCCTGAAATGAACCAATTGAGGCAGCAAACATCTATAGAAAGTACGGAATGGACTCACATTGACACAATAAAGCTCTAGAGACGTGCTCTCGTTTACAGTGGTGGTGACAATGCGAGCATCGACGAAATAAATGCCATCTTCCGGTGGAGCATTTCTACCTCCAAAGATAAAAACGGAAGCAGGAAGATCTCCAACACCATCTTCAGGGTCGGGAGAAACCGGCACAAACCCTTCCATCTTCCAAAATGTTTTCTTGGGATCGAGAATATAGCGAGCGGCGTTTTGAACGCCAACTATGCCGTGATAAGTGCATGCCGATGCCATGGTAGTCAATGCTGAAGAAAAGATTGCAGTGAACGGAATATATCGCGAAGGAGAGACAGGAGAGGTGAAACCGATGCTAACGACATGTGATATCGGGCGTTGAAATAAACGGGAGGGCATGTGACGCTCAGGTGGAGCACAGACAGGAGAGAGATGCACAAAAGGCAGATCATGTGGAGCTCAAGTGGAGCGCAGACAGGAGAGTCACGCGTTTTGGTTCCGCGGAACCAAACGTTTCGTACATACATATGTTAGATATCAATCGTCACAGCCTGATTCATCATGATAATCCATGCGGTGAATACAACACCATCCATCAACTACAACTACAAACAGAAATGGGAGAGACGATGACACGGACATCGCTTATACAACCACAAGAAGCTTTCAGATTGTGTGATTGATGATCATGTTTTTGATGAGCGCGGAGATGTATGAAGGCGAGCGGTTGATGGTATGGTTGGTTGGTGGCTCGTGGCCAGCTGGGATTAGTTGGTAGACTTGGATGTGAGATTGGTTGACTCTCGTCCATCACTCGTGCATGAGCATGGTTGAATGTTTGAGCAGCGCGTTTCGTGATTGGGAGGAAGCAAGGAGAGCGAAAGCCTGAAACACAAAGGATGATTCGTCATATGACGGCGAGAAATTGTACCTTGTCCGACGTGCACCTATCATAGGCACCTATTGAAGGTGCCCGGCTATTACTTTGACTCTGACTTTGCTCTCCTGGCTAGCGCTTCTCGCGACAATACCATCATTCAACCTCCCAGTTCCCTATTACTGAGATCGATGGATGCTCCCGGTGTTCTTCGTCCGCCAGTCGTTATAAGGCAGTATAAGGCCCTACTCGTTCTCAATTCTCAGATGAGACACATAGCATAGTGAGCCAATGGCGCTTACATTTGGAATTGATGTAACAATCCCTGCTCGAGCTGATTGATAGTATGTCATTAACTTACTCTAATAAACATGAAAATAGGAATGGGTGTCTAACGCTTATCTTCAAGATATATTTCACACCGTCACGTGGCGCAAGTGTGGGCGGAAAGCTGCCAATACTACTTGGTGATGCGAACAAGATAATGGTTTAGGAGAACGCTATTCGGAACACCAAATAACTTAAGTACTAGTACATGATCTAATACGAGGGAAACTTCAAACTTAAACCTCTTTCTTGAAATCCACTTCGCAACGCCAAATGACTAAACAAGTACGACGAATTCTGAGATCAAGAAAAAAACAATCTCGTACTCCCTCAGAACAGCAGACAACCGTTAGCTCCACCGAGCATCTCCCATGCTATACACCATTGCCAGTCGATATATGCACGCGCTCCTGGAAATCAATAGAGGTCACGTCGGTTGCTGCGTCGGAGTCGGCCACGAGCTTAGCGGAAAATTCTCGAACCCCAAGGATCAGACGTGGTCCCAGCACAGACGATTGCACGACCGTCAAAATCTGAAGCAAGCCATAATAAATCTGAGCTTCCAGGGAAGACTATAGAAATGATGAACCATGGTCGCATGCAAAGGTCAGTGAAAGATTGACATACAGCTGAGAGTGTTGGAGAATAAAGAGCGAGGGTCGAGGGAAGAAAACGACAACAAAGCTACCAGGTTCGATCCTTCAGCGGAAAAAACGGAACTATATTCACAACATGAGCTCACCTCGCAAAGTAAATCATGTGAGTTTTCATCAACACCGTGAAACAGTCCCCGGCAATCCTTCCTGTCGAATTTTGTCGCAGTTCACGGAAGTGTTTTACCGCAATCCAGACTGCGAGACACAATGCGAGGACCTCCCATACAGTGGCGAGTACCCAAGTAATGACACCCAGAAGCATGGTATTTTGCGTAGAGCCAATAGAGCACTGGTAAGTGCCAGATAAAATGAGTTCCTCTGTATTCATCGATGAGATATATGTTTTGTGTCATCCACAATTAAGCGTACCCCCTGAAGTATGCATCGTTATCATTATGTCGACCACTCCGATAAAAATGTTGCCAGACAGGAAGGTGACAATGAGAAATATCAGGATCTTTCTGGATTGTTGATACATGGCATGTAACCGAGTGATGATGATGACTTGCAGCATGTTTCAGTCGAGTCAATATCACTGAGGTCTCGTAAGTGCCAAGCTCACCCCACAGCGCCGCAAATACCACAAAACTCATCCAATTCCGCGTGGTGTACACAATTGAGCCTGAGGAATCAAATCAGTGATAAGCCTCGGGTAGGACACTCGAAACAAGCTCACATCTGTGGCAGCATAGCGTGGCAGTTATTAGTGAACCAAAAGTTAATATAAAGAATCACAGTCACCCCTACAAGGTGCCAAGGTTAATTTGAGGGGACTAGCAGGCATAGTGCGGAAGACTCACTGCATCTGTCACCAAGATTGTCGGAACACTGGCTGTATGCCGTTGGTCAGAAGAAGCAAAGACATCGAATGTAAGAAAACATACACACTACGTTCAAGCTGATTGTGAGAGATAATTCATTAGTACAAGGCAAGTGCTGAGCCTTCCGAACATACATAGCAGATAATATTCCAAGGGTAGCGCACCTAGGATACTTTCAAGTCAGCACAACATGGTAACCGTGACAGGCCAGCTACATACACCGAGATACAGAACTGTCATTACGGACCAGCGTTGTCTCTGGAAATTAAGTGCACTTCATGTGTGTTCCTCTGACACGAGACTCTACTCACCCAGATCAGTTCGACCTATAAAAACTATTCTTAGCGAGATGGCTGCTCCGATCATAGCACTGACATACCTCTTGTCCAAATGTAAGGACTGAAGATACTTGTAAGCTATTAACAGTTCTTTAATATTATCATACTCACCCCAATCATACGTTATTCCAACAAAGGCGGCCACTGCGAAATCATAGCAAGGTTAGATTGAGACCTTGGCAGCATCAATATCCAACTGCTCTCCACGAACCTACAAAATAACTGTGAAAAAGCAACTGATCAATGGCCGGCCACCAAGTGGGATCATTTGAGACTATGGTCATATTGGTAGACGATGGGTATAGGTTAGAGGCGGGCTTGGTGGATGTATGACGATGGCGTTTGTGCTAGATATAGCACAATCATGTGCTTGGATCACCGAAATGAGATCGATCGGTTCATTACCCGAAGTATTTTCACATGAAGAAAGATGAACTCAATCCAGGCACTCGAGTCTCGACGTAAATGTTGGTCGTGAACATCACAAGAGATTGAAGAATTTCAACATGGATGCGCACCTTCTTGCACTCTGCATTGATCATCGGACTTTTGCATCATAGGGATGCCAAAAATGGTGAGTGCAGAATCTTCAATTTGCAACGTGTGTTAGTGCGGTGGTGATAGGTATCGGTTTGCGCAGCCACAAACATCCTAGTTGGTAATAGGCATCAGATGCCATCAGTTTTCACAGCCAAAGGCATCCTAGTTGATATCTCGTGATTGATATCTGGTGAAGATACAACACTATCCCTAGATTAGTAGTGCTGAGAAAGGACATGGAGAAAGAAGACTCGGGCGTGGTGTTATGACCGCATGAAGCTTGTGACTTGTTGCTCTTCGAATCCAAACTGTACAGCCTGATCTCGTAAAACCTGATTGACGAGGCTCAGCAGCGTCTATATACATATCGCAGTGCATAATGACTTACTTATCACGGTCATACAGCTGCAAAGGCACGCCCCCTCTATGCTAGAACGAAACCGATTCTAACAACAGCCTAGCTGTAATATGACCTTCGAAAAACCTTGCCGTTTCAATGGCTCTCGATGGGCATCAGTAGTCTCCGCTTCGCAGACCCGAACATAACACTTTGAGGTTGTTCAACAAGATAGGCTTTGTTGGAATGTAAAACAAGGAAAGTCTAAACGAAGCAGACAGATAACTCACTTGTACAGCCCCTTCAAGCACACCTTTCAATGCCCCTGCTCCTCCATGTCCTGAGCATATACTGCCTCCTGCACACTGTCTAGCCCTCCGCCTCGGTCATCAGCCTATCGTATCATAAGGATGTCATTAATAAACGGTAAGTGCGGAACTGATACTGGGTGCACCCCACTCGATTTGCATCAATTATCACAGCCTGAATCAAGATCCATAGTTGATGCGCGGAGAGCATAGCACCATCACTAGATGATTGAAAACAAAAACGAGAGGGCATTGAGAGAAAAGAAGATCCAGGCATCGCCCTTATAACAACAGGAAGTTGGCACGCCATCATAAAATTTAGAAATGAAATCAACGCCATTAAGTAATAGTCAACTCACCTCCGGGCTGGAAATGTACGCCCCTCAACGTTCACCGTTCTGCTCCTCATTCTGCCCAAATCCTCGCTCCAGGGATTGGTCGCCTCATGCGCACTTGTGCACCCCACTTCGGAGTCGCATCCTTGAACAGCATCATATGTAGTAAGATCTATCAATTGCACGATGAATTTAGCGTAGCGCGTGCTTTCATCAAAGTGGCACTAATAACTCACCAAATTCATTCCTGTGTTGTTACAGCGCGATATTAAGATTAAGGACCGATTGAGGTGGCCAATGCCAGAAGATAGCGAGCAGGACTTCAGTTCAAACTGCGCTGTTTGTTGTACAGCTGGGCTGTGGATAGAAAATGTCTCATGATGAGTTTATGCTACTGAGACAACTGACTTGCAATTGCCATTGGTGAAAGTACAAGTGAGAATGACCTAATTACGAATCCATGCCTTGTCAATCTACTCAACTTATTTTGTCACCTGCGGGTCCTCTCGATCGATCAGCCTTGTGGTCCAATCTATGTACATCTCATTCACAAGTTTCTTTCCCAGTCGACTCGATATCATTCCCTTGCATTTCCCTACCAAATTTCCCCTCCTCCCAGCTAATTAGTGCGCATCGGTGCAGGCCACAATTCTCTGGGCTGTCCAAAATACATTCCCGTGGAAAAACATGAGTGTCCATGCATCCTATAATCACATTTTCGACTCGCAATTTTCAGTCTCGAGTCTCAGCCCCACCAACACCTACTACTCAGTCCTCAACCGCTCTCATCACTCTCAAAGCATGCCTATATCACCCACCAACCTGGTGGCCCTTTCATGCTAGCCACGCTCCAATTGTCGTGCTCACAGCGCCTCTGTCATTCTGTTTGGAATATCTCATCACTTCTGCGTGCTTGAAATCTTGTTAATGGTAGTTGCCCTCTCATGCACATATGTTCTTATGACAGCTCACAACACGGCGCCCTTCAAAGATCATGGAACC